GTAGACTAATGTGGGGTCGATTTTTTAAAATCTTCCCTATGGATAGAAAAAAAGCATACATTCTCAGTTCGGTTGCAAAAGCATATATTTGAATCCTAGCTCTGTGGATATATTTACTGTATGACCTCGGGCAAGTTACATATCCTCTCCTGCCTCAGTTTCATCCCCTTTAAAATGGGTAGATAGTGCACATCTCAAAGAGTTGAGGGCTTGGTACATACTAAGTACCATATATATTAGTAGCTATTTATTTATTTATTTGGCTGTTGGGTTTAGCTTATTAATCTTGTTGCTCAAATCTTTCTTATCTTGGCTTATTTTGTTTAATGTATCAATTTCTGAGATATATATAGTAAAATCTCCCATTATAATTACATATTTCCCCATTTGTCCCTACAGTTATGAACATTCTGCCTTATGTTTACGGCTCTGTTGTAAGATGCCTACAGGTTCATTATTAAAGTATTTTAGTGAATGATTCCTTTTATCAGGCTAGATCTCCATGTTGAACTTAGCCCGTTCATGTTTGTCATTAGAACTGTTTTTGCCAACATATTTTGTCTATTTACCAAGATTCCTTTGTAACCCTTAATTTTCCTTTTGAAACCTGGACCTAATTAATTATACATCATTTATGTATTTATATTGCAGTAGTCTATATGCTATTCTGATTTTTTATTGCTATTGTTCCACATTCACCATGCAATTTCCCTAGGTTTATACAGAACCTGTATTTATGGCAGATGACTCACAAAGCTATTTTGCTTAGACTATGATATTTGCTGCTGGGCTTGATGGGAATTGGAGATCTCTGAGATATTTTTCATGCCCCAAATACCTGAAACTAGGGGACACAGGAGGTCCATAGGTAGGTTGTAATCCGTTCAGTTACATCATTTTTGAAAGTGTACAACAATGAACCCAACTTTCTGGGCCCTGTGACTAGTGGATGTTAACCAGCTAAACTTCAGTTCCCAGTTACATACCGTAAAGAGAGAGGATTCAGGCTGTGATAAATAGCTGTGATTGAAGGTTCTCAATTACTGGCTGTAGGATTTATAGCATTTTAAAAAATTGTGTCTGGGATTACTTTTACATTCACTTATAGTCTAGGAAGGGAGAGAGAAAATGCTACTATAACTAATACAAGGCAGAAAAACTTTTGTCTGTTTTGTTTATTCATGTGTCCCTAGAACAGTGCCTGGCACACAGTAAGTGATCAATAAATATTTGTAAGAAAATTATGGTACCAAAAAATTGTTATGGGAACTTCAAGAGAAGAGGTGTAATTGCAACAGAAGAGATCATGAAGTCTTCATGAGAAAGTAATAGCTGAGTAGGACCTTGAAGGCTAAGTAGGATCTGGAGACTAAAGGGTGCATCAGTTGGGTTTGATCAGAGAAACAAACTACTGGGAATGATACAGGATATAAGATTAAATTTATGGGCCAGGCATGCCTATAATGCTAGCACTCTGGGAGGCTGAGGCGGGAGGATCACTTGAGCTCAGGAGTTGGAGACCAGCCTGAGCAAGAGCGAGGCCCCGTCTCTACCAAAAATAGAAAAAAGTAGCTGGGCGTGGTGGCCCACATCTGTAGTCCCAGCTACTCAGGAGGCTGAGGCAGGAGGATTGCTTGAGCCCAGAAGTTTGAGGTTGCAGTGAGCTCGATGACTCCACTACTCTAGCCCAGGGTGACAGAGTGAGACGCTGTCTCAAAAAAAAAAAAAAAAAAGGCCGGGTGCGGTGGCTCACGCCTGTAATCCTAGCACTCTGGGAGGCCGAGGCGGGTGGATTGTTTGAGCTCAGGAGTTCGAGACCAGCCTGAGCAAGAGCGAGACCCCGTCTCTACTAAAAATAGAAAGAAATTAATTGGACAACTAAAAATATATAGAGAAAAATTAGCCGGGCATGGTGGTGCATGCCTGTAGTCCCAGCTACTCGGGAGGCTGAGGCAGGAGGATTGCTTGAGCCCAGGAGTTTGAGGTTGCTGTGAGCTAGGTTGATGCCACGGCACTCTAGCCCGGGCAACAGAGTGAGACTCTGTTTCGAAAAAAAAAAAAAAAAAAAAAAAGATTAAATTTAGGAACTGACCTGACACAGTTGCGGGAGCCAGTTAAACATTTTTGTTCAACTGTTGCTTCTTTATCTGGTGGTGGGCCTGGTGTCAGCAGGGTGGGCCACCGGGAAGAAAGACGGACAGAAGTGAAGTGAGGAAGATCACAGAAAAACTGCAGCCCGTGAGGCTGAGCTTGACCCATGCCAGTCCCTGAGGCTGACAAGGCTCTGGAAACTTTGAAGATTCCGGGGACCCAAAAGAGAAATGGCATCTTCGTAATGGCGCTAAACATGCACCTGGCCCAGGATGGGGAGAAGCCCGAGGCGGAGCCGGCTGCTAGAGCTGGAGGAGCTGCAGGCTCGGCTGCTGCCCCAGGAGCAGCAACACTGGCCCAGATAGGGAGAAGTCTAGGGGCAGTCTGGCGGGAATTAAAGGAGCTGAGAGCCCGAAAACTGTCTGGGCCAACAAGGTGAGCGAGCACATCAGCGGCAAGGTGTGTGAGCTGGTGCCCCGCAGCAAGCATCCAAGCATAAAAAGGAAGGGGCTGCTGCTTCACTTCCAACTTCCAAACTTTATGCAAAGTCACACAGCCCAGATGTATGCACGGAAGGAAATCCTGGGAAATGTAGTTCTGACTTAGCTGAGTTGGCACAGAACAAATTCAGCCCGGAGAGAAGGCAGGGGCTTGGGGAGAATGGCTGGGGGAGGCAGGGCCAACTCGTGCTCTCTCGCAGGCTGTCACTGCTGAGCACCCTGGACGGGTGGGCAGTGGGCAGTGGGCCACCCAGGCACAGTGGGCAGTGGCCCCTGAGTGCCACCTCCACACTCATTCTCTGGAAGTGAGGGGCCCAGCATCATTGGCATTCTGCTACATTTAGAGGCAACACTTACGGTTCAAACAGAACTTGGACTTAAGAATCATAAAGGCACAAAGCACTCCTGAGTGGAGCCAGAAAACACCCAGGCTTTGGCCTGTAGCCCTCTCTCACCCCACCCCCCAGCTGTAGGCCCAGGGGATTTCCTGTGACAGTGGCGTCAGTCCCAGGTGTGGGGCAAGTGTGAGAGAGAATGGTCCTGCTGCTACCCTGGAATGGCCCGTGCCTTATTTGGGTTTATTCATTTGGTGCTTACTAAGTGTCCCCCTGTGCCCCACACTGTTCTAGGCATCAGAGACGCAGGTGAACAGAGTCCCTGCCCTCAGGGAGCTTCCCTACCAGGGAGGAAGACAGATAATAAAAAAGTATACAAATAATTGACCTCAGACCATGATGTGTACTTTGGAGAGAACATACAGCAAGGTGGGGAAAAGACAGTGAGGGGAGCGGTGTTTTAGAGCAGGTGCCCAGGGAACAATAATCCCAGGGAATATTAATTTTAGTATTCCTTATGTACCTAATACTGTTCTAAGGACTTTACATGTATTGGTCCATTTAATCCTCATGAAAATCTAAGTAATTTTCCCAAGGTTACATCATTAATAAGTAGAACTGGAATTTAAACACAGTCTGGTACCAGAGCCCAAGCTTTAAACCTGGGAAGGTCTGTCTCTTGGTTGCATCGAGTGGTGTGAGGAAACAAGGGATGCAAATATCAGAGGGGAGCGAGAGCAGCCAGTGCAAAGGCCCTGAGGCATGGGCATGCTTGTTGTTTGGAGGCATAAAACCAAGATTTCAGTTCTGGACATGTTACAGTTTGAGAAGTAGGAGAGGAAGAGCTTCTGAGAAGGAGCAGCTGGTAGGGGAGGAGAAAACCAGGAGAGAGGGCTGCATGAAGGAGAGAATCATCAGATCTTTCCAATTCTGCTGGGAGGCCTGTTAACCAAAGCTCGAGAATTGACCATTGGATTTAGGGACGTGGAGGTCATCATTGCCCTTGACATTGGTGGGCTTTTATAGAAATTACAGTACATGGGAAGGCAACCAAAGTAGTTTTATTCCAGGCCAAGTGGAGATGGAAGCCCAAAGCCCCACCCTCCAGCCTCAGCTCTGTCCCTTCCTACCCCTGAGGGCCTCTGAGATACCTCCCAGGGACTCTAAAACACGGTTTGAAAACCACAGGTGTAAGCCAACCCCTTTGTTTCACAGCTGAAGCTCAGGTCCAGAAAAGGGAAGACATTTGGCTCAAGGCTGTGCAACTTAAGTTAGTGAAAAACCCAGGTTACAATTTATCATTATTTAATGAAATTTAACAACAAACACATCTGTTCTTAGCCGTCTTAAACTGTTTTCATGGACAGTGATTACCATGACAAGTAGAAAAATCAAAATAAGAAAGTCTTTTTCACCTTTATATCCTGTGGAAAGGGGAGAATGATAACATGAACAAATTCAATTTGTAAAAAATTCAGAAACCTCGTGGTTAAATGATAGTTTCCATATTCTCCTCCCAAACCCCATTTCTCAATGCTTCTGGTCATTCGGCGAGTTCCATGTTTTCTGATGCTGTGTAGTGAGAGGTAGCAGACTACAACCTATAAAATGGGTCAAATAATAATGATAATCACAATCGCTTGCACTTACTGACCACTGGCTTTGAGCCTGCACTGTTCTCGGATCCTCACAGCAGCCCCGCGAAGCAGGCCCGGCAAGGACCCCTCTCCCTGGGTCGTACGTGGGACAGTATCACAAAGTGGTCCAGGATTCAGCTCCCAGGGTCCTGTTGCCCGATTGCATCTCCCGTTTCCACTCCTCAGTGACGGTGGGACTAGGGCACGTTGCTTCCTCTCTTCGTGCTTTGGTTTTGTCAGCTGTGTGAAATGCTCTCAGACAGAAACACGGGACACAAGCGTGAGGGCTGGCACTTAGGATGAGGCAGACACTGCTCCAGGCACCTCATCATCTCAGGCCTGCGAGCCGAGCCGGGCGCCTGTCTCTGATTTGAATAAGCCACAGGCTGAATCGAGGAGCTGTGCTTAATCTCATAGTGCCATGTTTTTTGCCTTAGGATCCGCGCTCGAAGGCGAATGAAACTTGTCAGACACCACCCAGAAGAGAAGAGTGTCAAGATAAGTTAACAGCTGAAGAAGGAGCCCGCAGCGACGGAGAGGAAAGGTACGAGGGGCAGGCAGACGGCCGAGAGCTTCAGCGAATGAGCACTCGGATTTGGAAGGAGTCATTCACTAATTCATTCATTCATTCAAGCCTCAAGTATTTATCGCTGCCCCTTGCATCAATGCTTAGGAAGGGAATAGACATATCTGGTATGTTTTCAGCAAAGCTATGGGCTTCACATAAACTATCTTTTTTAATTGTCACATCAGCCCAGAGAGGCCATTTTATAGTTTAACAACCTGAAGCTCAAAGAAATTAGTAAACCTGCCCAAGATTCAGACCTGGAGTGGCCCCGAAGCTCTAATCCTATATTTCAAAGTGTTCTTTACTTATTTTTTATTTTTAATGTTTGTAATTGGGCATCCCTCAGAACCAGAGAGGTTCAGGGGGCTCTGACAAGTGTCCTTTGAGTAGGAGAGATAGGGGAGCTTTGTCACCCAGAGGAAATCCCCATCTATGTCACCTATATCAGTCGACTGTTGCTGCTATAACTGACACCCCCAAATATCAGTGATTTTTAGCTCCTAGGCAAGCTACATTTATGCTTAGCTCTGCCAGGCTTATATGAACTTGGCTGCCGGCTGAGGGCCAGGAGTATTGCTCTGCCATGACGCAGAGTTCAGGTCTGCTCCACATGCCTTATTCTGGCCCAGGCCAAAGAATTAGCGCCCATCTAGGGCGTGTTGTTGGCAAGTAAGGAGAAGAAGCTCAAAAGGGCTGATGAAAACACGCACTGCCTCCTAAAGCCTATACTCAGAACTGCACTCTCATTTCTACCCATGTTCCTTGGGCCAGAGCAAGTCATAGGACCAAAGTTGATATCAATGGGCAGAGAAGAATGTGGTCTTTATGTGTCTTAGTCAGCTTGGGCTGCTGTAACAAGACACCACAGTCTGGGTGACTTCACAGAAATTTTTTTCTCACAGTTCTGGGGACTGGGAAATCCAAGATCAAGGTGCTGGCTGATTTGGTTCCTGGTGAGGACTCTCTTCCTGGCTTGTGGATGATCATCTTCTCACTGTGTCCTCATGTGGTGGGGAGAGAGAGAGAGAGAAAGAGAGAGATCTCCCCTGTCTTTTCTTATGACCTAATTATCTCCCAAAGCCCCCATCTGCAAATACCATCAAATTGGCAGTTAGGGCTTCAACATATGAATTTTGGGAGACACAGTTCAGTCTACAGCACACTCATAGCTACAAGAGGCAAGAGGAGAGGAGAGTGAAATTTGCGGAGCAAATACAACACATCCTGTTACACCGCCTCATAAGACTCTGATACAGTCAGTCTATAGTACATTCCAGCTGTGTGTGTTTTGAGAAAGCTGCCCAGGTTATTCTGAGGACACCACAGTTATGATGCACTGCCCTGCACTAACCACCGTCTTGTGTGGGTCCCGACAGATGTCACAGAAGCCCCTGCCTTCTGGCAGCTCGCCGGGTGGGTGGGGAAGCAGGGCAGCACACAGTCCAGCGAACTCTCGAGCTCATCGTACTCCACGGCTTCCTCCAGCTTCTGTCTCAGTAGCTATGAGGCAGTTGAGCAAAACTGCTAAGGAGGACAGGCTCTGGGGTCAGGCCTCCAGGTGAAATCCTGGTTCTGCCACTTAACTACTGGCAGCCATAAACCTCATCCTGTTTAGAACTCATGATCTCAGAAGGAAAGAATCTCATTCCTGAAAACACTGGCAGAAATTTCAAAGAGGTCTCCAGTGGGTCCAGGCCAGGCCTGAGAGTCCGTCCTCAAGCCAGCCATTCTCATCCAGGAGCTAGAGTACTGCAGTTGGCCGGGCGTGTGTTGTATGCCCTTTCCCAGGGCCAGCTGGGCTGAGGGCAGGGTTAGCTGCGTCCAGATCCTTTGGACTAAACAGGGTCACCATGGAAAGAGGAAAGGCTTCCCCAAGGAGAAGATGCTGGGCAGACCAACAGCATGTGTGATCACGACAGCCTTCTCTTTTTTCTCAGGTAGTGGCTGTATCAGTGAGGAGAGATTCCCCAAATATAAAAAAAAAAAAAAAATAAGGTAGTGGGGTCTAAGGCTGCTCCCACCAGTGTTTTGGTAGGGGTGGAAAGGCCAAGCAACTCAGGGGAAAAAATGGGAAGGTCGTTTGGGATCTGAGGTTAGGGGCTGCAGGACAGAATAAACACAGAACAAATGCAGTGGTTCCTTTGGGGTGAGGTCGCATATGCAGTAGTTACTCTCATGAAGGATGCTTGTCAGCCTTAAAATGATCTAGAATTGGAATTAGTAGAGAAGGACTTGAAAGCAATTGTAAGAATTACGTTCAAGAACATAAAGAGGGCCGGGCACGGTGGCTCACACCTGTAATCCCAGAACTTTAGGAGGCCGAGGCAGGAGGATCATGTGAGACCAGGAGCTCAAGACCAGCCTGGGCAACATAGTGAGACCTCATCTATACAAAAATTTTTTTAAAAAATTTAGCTGGGTTTGGTGACACGTGCTTACGGTCCAAGGCAGGAGGATCACTTGAGCCTAGGAATTTGAGGCTACAGTGCACTATGATCATGCCAGTGCTCTCCAGCTTGGGAGACAGAGCAAGACCCTGTCTCTAAAACAAAAACAAAACCACACGTAAAGGAATATATTATCATGATGAATGAGCAAATAGGGAATTTTAGCAGAGAATTGAAAACTGTGAAATAATGAAAAATTTTAAAACTATAAAGTATAATATCCCAAAATAAAAATTCGCTGGATGGGCATAATAGCAAATTGGAGACCAGGGAAGAAAAAATTAACTTTAAGATAGATCAGTAGAAACTGTTTTACCCAAAAATGAAGAGAAAAAAAGATTTTTTAAAAATGAAGAGATCCTCAGTGACTTGTGGGACAATGTCAAATGCTATAACATGCAGGTATTTGGAGCCCAAGAGAAACAAGAGAAAGAAAATGAGGCAGGAAAAAAATATTTGAAAAAATAACGGCTGAAAATACATCAGCTTACATATTCAAGAAGCTTAGTGAGTTCCCAGAAGGAACTCCAAATCCAAAGTCAACAATCTCTAGATACATCATGGAAAATCTGCTGGAAACAAAATACACCAAAACAAAACAAAACAAACAAAAACCTCTTAAAAGCAATCCGCTTTTTAAAAAAAAAAAAAAGACAAATTGCATATAGGGGGCAAGAATGCTAATGACAGCTGACTTCTCATCAGCCTTCCAGCCTCATTTTCTTCTGAAAACCAGAAGACAATGGAGCAATATCATTAAAATACTAAAAGGAAAAATAATTTATCAACTCCAAATTCTAAATCCAGTGAAAATATCTTTCAAAAATGAAGGTGAAATGAAAACATTTCAGGTACCTGAAAGCCAAGAGAACTTTTCACTAGCCAGCCTGCACTGCGATAAATGCTAATGGAATTTATTCAAGCTGAAAGAATACCAGATGTAAACTGGATCTACAAGAGAAAAGTATATCAGAAATGGTAGACGTATAAGTAAATATAAAAGACTACTGTTTTTCCTTGTCATAATTTCTTTTAAAAAATCTAATTGTTTAAGAAGAAGAATAATGACAACAACATTATATTATGGAGTTCATAATGCATGTGGTTGAAGAATTTGTGACACACAAGCACGAGGACAGGGGCGGGGTTAATGGAATTACACTGTTCTAAGGGACTTATGTTTTACAGGAAGAGGTACAACGTCAACTCTAAGTAGATTGTGATGAATCAAGGATACAGACTGTAGTCCATAGCGCAAGATATTACTATATGCTGCCTACAAGAGAGACATGTAAATATAAAGATGCTGTTATGGGCTGAATTGTGTCTCCCTCTTAATTCATATGTTGAAGCCCTAACCTCCAGTACCTCAGAATGTGACTGTTTTTAGAGATAAATCTTTAAAGAGGTAATTTAAGTTAAAATGGGGTCACCAGGGTGGGCTCTAATCCCATACAACTGGTGGCCTTATATGAAGAGGAGACAAGGACGCAGATGATACAGAGGGAAGAACGTGAGGATGCAGGGAGAGGGTGGCCATCTGAAAGCCAAAGAGAGAGCCCTCAGAAGAAACCAGACGTGCCCATACATTGACCTGAGACTTCTGTCCAGAACTGTGAGTATATTTCTGTGGTTTAAGCCACCCAGTCTGTGGTATTTTGTTATGGTTGCCCTAGCAAAATAATACAGGTACAGATAGGTTTAGAGGTAAAAGGATGAAAAAGTATCTGCTATGCAAACAGTAAATAAGAGGAAGCTAATGCACCCCTTTTAATATCAGCCAAAGTAGACTTCAGAACAAGGAATGTTACCAAGGATAGAGCAAGATATCTCATACTGGTAAAGGAATTAATGCATCTGGAAGACATAACAATCCTAAATGTGTATGACCTAGTAACAGCTTTAAAACTACTAAAGCAAATCATGAGAGAAATAAAGGGAAAAATCCACAATCATAGATGGAGATCGTGACACCCTTTTCTGAGTGTTTGATTGGACAGCTAGACTAATATCAGCAAGGATATAGATTTGAACTACACTACCAACTAACCTGACCTAATTGACATTTATAGACAATACGCTGAACAACTGCAGAATAAATATTTTTTAAGTGCACACAGAACTTTCACCAATATAGACAATATGAAAGGCTACCAAATATACTCTGTAATATATTCTATACTTCAGATGGTATCCTCTGATCTCAAAGGGATTAAATTAGAAATTAGTAACAATAAGCTACCAAGAAAATCCTCAAATATTTAGAAATTATGCAGTATCAGTATACTTCTAAATAACCCAAAGGTCAAAAAGTAAAATCGCAATGAAAATTAGAAACTATTAATATTTAACTATTTCAAATTCAGTGAAATAAATATGACATACCAAATTTGAGAGACATAGCTAAAGAGGACAATTTATAGCTTTAAATGCTTAAAAATAAGCATTTAAAAGAAGAAAGTTTTACCATCAATTATCTAAGCAGCTTTCTTCTTCTTCTTTTTTTTTTTTTTTTGAGTTGGGGTCTTGCTCTGTTGCCTGGGCTTGAGTACAGTGGCACAATCATAACTCACTGCAACCTCAAACTGCTAGGCTAAAGCAGTTCTCCTGCCTCAGCCTCCTGAGTAACTGAGACTACAGGCACGTACCATCACACTGGCTAATTTTTTATTTTTGTAGAGCTGGGGTCTCGGTCTTGAACTTCTGGCCTCGAGCAGTCCTCCCACTTGGGCCTCCCAGAGGGCCAAGATTACTCACAAAGGGGTGTCAAAATCTCCCTCTATGATTGTGGATTTTTCCCTTTATTTCTCTCATGATTTGCTTCATTACTTTTAAAGCTCTGTTACTAGTCACACACATTTAGGATTGTTATGTTGTGAGCCACTGTGCCTGGCCCTAAGTTTTCTTGTTAAGAAACTAGAAAAAGATAAGCAAATTAAACCCAGAGTGAATAGAAGGAAGTAAATACTAAAGAGCAGAACTCAATGGAATAGAAAACAGCAAATAGTAGAGAAAATTAATAAAACCAGAAGTTAGTTCTTTGAAAATTATATACCCATTGTAAGATTGATTAGGAAAAAAGAGAGAATGCGAATAACCAATATCGGGAATGAAAGAATCACTACAGATTCTATACATATTAAAGGGATAAAAGCATTTTACGAACAAAGTTTATGCCAATAAATTTGTCCAAAAGCAAATTCCTTGAAAAACGTAACTTATCAGAACTGACTCTAGAAGAACTGGAAAATATAAATAGCTCTATCTACACCTATGGCAAAATGAATATTTAATTTCAAACATTTTCACAAAGAGAACTCCAGTCCCGGTTAGCATCACTGGTGAATTCTATCAAACATTTTGAAGGAGAGATTAATACCAATCTTACACAAGCTGTTAGAAAAAGGAGGATAGAACACTCCCCAATTTATTTTAGGAGAAAAACATAATCCTGTTACCAAAATCTAACAAAGACATTAAATAAAAGAAAATTACAAATTAATATTCTACACAAATGCCAAATTCTCAACAAAATATTTGAAAATCAAATCCAGTGGTATAGAAAAGGGAAAATACATCATGCCAAGTGGAATTTATCCCAGGAATGCATGGTTGGTTTAACATTTGAATAGCAAGCAATTTAATTCAGTTTATTTAAAAGATAAAAAAAAATGATCATCTCAATAGATGCAGAAAAGCACTCAACCAAAGTTAATATCCTTTCATGATACAAACTCAGCAATCTATGAATAGAAGGGAACTTCTTTGACCCGAAAAAGGTCATCTTGAGAAACTACAGACAACATACTTAGTGGTGAAATACTGAGCACTCTGCTGCTACGGCTGGGAACAGGGCAGACACTTTGCTGTCACTATTTAGCATTATACTGAAGATCCTAGCCAGTTACTATAAAGCAAGAAAAGAAATACAGATTAGGAAGCAAGAGTAAAAATGTCTTTCTTTATAGACAGAATGATCATGATTGAAATATACAATATTGTTAGGATGTTAATTTACCCTAAATTGATCTACTGAATTGATTCAATGCAATCCCAAATAAAATCCCAATATGCTTATTTGTAGAAACAAATCAGCTGTTTTAAAAATTGATACGGAAAAGCAGAGGACCTAGAAAAATCAAAAAATTAAAAAACTTGAAGAACAAAGTTTGAGAACTCAGGCTACCTAATTTCAAGACATATTATAAAGCTGGAATCATAAAGACTGTGACATCAGTGTACAGATAGATTAATCAGTGAAACACAATGGAGTGTCTGGAAACAGATTCATACATAGCTGATAAATTAATTTTTGTTAATGGTGCCAAGGTAATTCAATGGGGATAGAAGTTTTTCAACAAATGGTGTTGGAAAAGAATGAACCTCAACCCCCACTATACCCCACACACAAAATGAATTTGAGATGTTTCATAGAGTAAACATAAGAGAGTATCTTTGCAACTTTGTGGTAGGCAATAATATTTTAGATAGAACATGAAAACACTAATCATGAAAGAAAAAATCAATAAACTGGTATTTATCAAAATTGAAAGTTCTATTCATTTAAAAAAATTACTCTTAAAAATTGAATAGACAAGCCACAGATTGGGAGAAAGTATCCAGTCTGTATCCAAAATATGTAAAGGATTCTTATAAGTCAATAATAAAAAGACAAACCAATTATTTAAATGGACAAAATGCTTGAACAGACACCTACATACATAAAAAGATATGTGAACGGCCCATAAGCACATGAACATGTGCTCAACATCATTAGTCATCAGGAAAATGTAACTTAAAACCACAATGAGATACCATTTCCCATCCACTGGAATAGCTAAAATTAAAAGACTGCCAACACGAAATGTTGGCAACAATGTAGAACAACTACAACTCTCATTAATATTAATACATTGCTGGCAGGGTATACAATGTAAGCTCTGTGTACAGTTAAGCACATACCTACCAGCAATTCCTCTCCTAGGCATTTAAGCAAGAGAAATGAAAACATATCCACAAAAACCCTTGGACAAACTTATTTCTAGCAGCTTTATTCATAATAGCCTAGAAGTATAAACAACCCAAATGTCTCTTAGTAGGAAAATGGATAGGGCCGGGCGCAGTGGCTCACGCCTGTAATCCTGACACTCTGGGAGGCCGAGGCGGGTGGATCGCTCAAGGTCAGGAGTTCGAGACCAGCCTGAGCAAGAGTGAGACCCCCCCCCCATCTTTACTAAAAAAAAATAGAAAGAAATGATCTGGACAACTAAAAAATATATATAAAAAATTAGCTGGGCATGCTGGCGCATGCCTGTAGTCCCAGCTACTTGGGAGGCTGAGGCAGAAGGATTGCTCGAGCCCTGGAGTTTGAGGTTGCTGTGAGCTAGGCTGACACCATGGCGCTCTAGCCTGGGCAACAGAGCAAGACTCTGTCTCAAAAAAAAAATAAAATAAAAAAATAAAACCAAAAAAAAGAAAATGGATAAATAAATTGCGGTATATTCATGTAATGGGATACTACTCAGCAACAAAAAGTATGAACTACTGACATATGTAACAACATGGATGAGTCCCAAAGATGTTATGTTGAACAAAAGAAACCAGAAACAAAAGAATACATACCACATGATTCTGTTTGTATCCTACTTAAGCTCAGGCAAAATTAATCTATGGTGATGGAACTCAAAGCTTTGACTGCAAGGGGAGTTTGGGGATTATGAAAATGTTCTGTATTTTGATTGAGATTTTGGTTTCATGGTTATATACATGTCAGGACTCACTGAATTATACACTTAAGATCTGTGCCTTTCACTGTATGTAAATTTTACTTCAATAAGGCATATTTAAAATAGGGCCAGGCATGTTGGTATACACCTGTCGTCCCAGCTACTTGAGGGGCTGAGGCAGGAGGATCACTTGAGTCCAGGAGTTCAAGGCTACAGTGAGCTATGATAGCGCCACTGCACTCCAGCCTGGGCAACATAGCAAGCCCCTGTCTCAAAATAATAATAGTATAATAACTGAGCCCCTATCCTGGGAGGACGTCCAGCCCTTCCACATGGATTCGCAGGAAGAGCTTACCTGTTCGACACAGCGGACCTGGTGTTGCCACTCGTCACTCTTGCTCTAGGCTGCTCTCCCTGCTTCTCTGGCCTTCCCCTAACCCTCGGGTTGGTTTCATACCCAGAGCACAGATCCACGTGTCCCCGCTTCATTGCTCCTTAAAGATGGTTGTGTTTAGTGCATCTTCAGAAGGCTTGAGGATAACCCAAGAGAATCAGAATGTAGAGAAAGAAAACTTCTCTCTTTTTAAATGTTTAGTTAGCTCTTTATATAATTCTTACTGTGTTCCAGACACTGTTTTAAGCACTTTATGAATCCTATATAAAGGTAGCATTATTAACCTCATGTTATTGAGGAGGAAGCTCAGGCCAGAAGAGTTTGAAGACCTCACCAAGGTCACATAAATAGTAAATAATGGAGCTGGAATTTGAAGCCGGGTTGTGTGGCTCTAGTACCATGCCCTTGGCTACATCCCTGGCTGCTTCTGGCATCCTGCCCTTCCTTGCAGAGGTCCCTGTCGACTGTCCCTCTGTTAAGCCCCCAGCCTGGGCCTTCTCACTTCTGCCAAGCAGAGAGCCCCTGCTCCTAGTCCAGGGCCCTACCCCCAACCTCTGCTTCTCTGGGCTGATGTCCTTGCCAGGGGAAGCCAAGCGTCACTTACATCCTGGCAGTCTCTACAGAGATGCCCACCTTCTCGTCCCACGTGGCATCCTTTTACATTGTCAAACAAGATAAATACTTAACATCCCAACCTAAAGCAATCGCATTTGAGTTTCTCAGCTGCTTCAAAGTTCAGAATTAAGGAAGGGAGCTCTGGTCTCCTCTAAAGACATTTGTCAGCATCTTATCTAGAATGCAGATACTCTTGTAGCTTTAAACCAGCATTTTCTTATTCATGCTCCATATGTAAAGGCCTATTTAAAACTGTGTTAAAATAAAGCGTTATTGTTTCCTTTTTTTTTCATATGCAGGAAGAGTTGTGAAATTAGACCATAGAGACTTCTTTTTTGGAGCCCCCAAGAACCCCATATATAAGTAACTCTAAGCTCTCAGTTATTCCGACAGTCGGTCATCATTTATTAAGCACCTGCTAAAATAGATATCAGGTGGTTCCTGCTGAATCCCGATTGTATCCTAAGTGCAATAACACTTACACTGTGTATGTCAGGTTGCTCTTTGAAAGTCATAAGTTTCTCACCCCACTAACCACTGTTGGAGATCCCTCCTTCCAGCCAAAGCAGCTGACATGTTGTCAGGGTGGTAGTGTCATTCCCAGCCCTAGGATCTTTTGTGATTGTTGCCTCCCTATCTTCAAAGGATCGAAGGGCCCCTCATGGAGGAAAGTGACCCGCAACCTCCACTGGACTCTTTGCAGAAGGAGAAGGTACCCGAAATCGAGTGTCTACAGGAGGACTGGCAAAGCCAGAAGGCCACGTTGCAAGCCCAGGTAGGACAGCCTTGGTGGGGATGTGCCCACACACTGAGACCCTGCCTCCCTCCTTCGAGACAACCTTGGAAGTGCATGCAGGGCTCGATTCACATCCAAGCTGGGAGGGCATTACAGGTCCAGGGCAAAGTGGGATTCTTGGTTTTAGTTATTCATTCATTCAAAACCTGCTGTGCTCAGGAGTACCTGCTATGAACCATTGATGATACATCAATGAACAAACCAGACAAAATATCTTATATTTTATATATGAGGAATATATATATGTATATATTATATATATTAGTAGCAGAGATGACAGTATATTTTGTATTTCAGCAGAGGAGGTGGGAACAGACAATAAATGCTAGGCACTAGGATGTGAGTAGATCACATGGTACCTCTGGAAGCCATAAGGGCTTTAGGAAAAAGGAAAAACAGAGCAGGGTAGAGGGGAATGGAGGCAGTTCTGTGATATGGAAGTAGGGGGTGTGTCAGGAAAAGCCTCAACAAGGAAGTGAGACTCAAGCAAGTACCTGAAGGGGCAGGGGGGCCACCGCGCGGGTCTCTGGAGGCATTCTGGTGCCCTCTTGATTTCTCCTGGAAGGTTTGTGTCCCAGCTTGTCTTCCCCTCTTTCCTGGCATTTGTGGCTCTAGCTGAGGGCCCCCGGGAGGACTAGCCACCCCTGGGTTCCTAGTTTGCACCTGCCACCCCCCTCAGAGTTCTCACAGACAGAGGAGGCTCAGCTGGGTTGAGGTGACATTCAGAAAGCTTTTATTAAAAAAAATCCCAGGCCGGGCGTGGTGGCTCACACCTGTAATTCTAGCTCTCTGGGAGGCCGAGGTGGGCGGATTGTTTGAGCTCAGGAGTTCGAAGCCAGCCTGAGCAAGAGTGAGACCCCGTCTCTACTAAAATTAGAAAGAAATTAATAGGACAACTAAAAATATATAGAAAAAATTAGCCGGGCATGGTGGTGCATGCCTGTAGTCCCAGCTACTCAGGAGGCTGAGGCAGGAGGAGCTTGAGCCCTGGAGGTTGAGGTTGCTCTGAGCTAGGATGATGCCATGGCACTCCAGCCCAGGCAACACAGTGAGACTCTGTCTCAAAAAAAAAAAAAAATCCCAGAAAGGGTAAGGGGTCTAGGCTGAGTGCGGAATGCCTGGTGGGCAGGTGTCGCGGATGCAGCGGGCTCTGGAGCAGTGCGCCAGCAACTACAGGGAGGACCTGCAGGTGCTCAAGCAGCTCGCAGACCAGGAGCGGGAGAAACTGCAACGCGAGCTCCAGGAGAGCTCTCAGCAGGGCCAGGCCGCCAGAGCCCAGCTCGAGGCTTCCCACCAGCGAGCCCTGCGCATGCTGGAGAAGGCCAAAGCTCAGGAACTCAGGGTAAGTGTAATGACTATGAGGTCATCCTCTAAGGGTACCTGCTGTGTGAGCATCTGCTGTGCACTAAATGGTGCCCTTTTTACATTTTCTCCAATCCCCACAATAATCTTACAAGGTTGTTATTAGTGTATTCCATTTTTCCAGATGAAGAAGGATGCTCAGAGAGATTGAGTAACTTGCTCAAGGTCACACAGCTAGTAAAGGGCGGTTCGAGTGCAGTTCTCTAGTGCCTTCTGCTTTCTGGCCTGGCTTAAACATTGCTTTCTCAGAAGGCATTCCCTTCCCGCCCTCTTAGGAAGTTCCTTGAATGGGTCTCACAAGAACAAGGCAGCAAACCAAGCAAGAGGGAACACAAGGGAGCCAGGGTGGGGGCGCTGCAGTGCGGGAGCAAGGGGGAAGGCTCTCGGAGGCTGGCTTTGCTGCCTGCCAGACAGCTCAGTCCTGACTCAGCAAGGCGGCTGAGAGCTCAGGAACAGATGTCTCCTGGGGAAAATAGAACTGAGGGATTCTCTGACAGATTTGGCCATGTGGAAAATTGCTTTGAAAGTGTTTTAGGAAGCATTTAGAAATGGTAGGGAGCCTTACCCAAATATCCAAAGAAAACTAAGCAAATAAAAAAACGCAGCAGTTATTAATACAAGGAAAAACAGAACGTTGCACATGGTAGCAGTTTAATCATAATTATTTAGCTCAGCAGTGAACAATATTTACATACAATAGTGGAAATATGGAGTGTACCTAAATATATTTTCAAAAAGTGATACAGCCATCTATAAGGCATGGAAGAGGTACAGTGGACGAAACCTAAAATCCTCATCTATCATAATGGGAAGACAATTCATAATCTCAAAAATCCCTTGTGAGGTAACATATTTAGTTTCTGGGGACTCAGACATGGACACCTCAGGGGTCATTTTTGTACCTATCAGCGAAACCAACTTGAGCTAAGTTAGGCAGGCAGTGAAAACAAGTTTATTAAACTTTACACAGCTGTCCATAGGACTTGCTTTGGGTGCTTGACACATAGCAGGGCATCAACAAATGACTGTTTGTTGAGTGAAAGCACAAATAAACCAAAAATAAATAAATAAATGAAAAAAAAAAGTGGACATAAAAATGAACCCAAGGGCAGAGACATAGCCAGTTCTTAGGACCAGACCAGACGAGAGATTGAAAAGCACTAGTCTCCCCGACCCAAATCTTCATCTTCTGGCATTGCTGCTCTGCTCTGCACGCCAGTCCTGGGCTCTCTCCACAGGCAGCAGCCTCCGCCACACTGGTCCTGGGGCAGATACAAGATGCTCACCTCGGTGCGCCTGAGCATGTTAAATTTAGAGCTACAGTCAGTGTCTGTCTGTCTGTCTCTCTTGCTTTCTCTCCCCTACCTCCAACACCAAATTTCCAATGAAGGAACTCTGATTGGCCCAGTTTGGAGCAGGTGTCCACTGTGGCCCAATCGATTGTAGATGGAGGTAGATTCGCGTGGTACAAAATGGTTGCCGTAGCCAGGCCATTGCTGGAGCATTCTCTGTTGTTGCTTGATAAGCTGTCCACGGGGGAGTAGCGAGGGCTCAGAGCGCCCTGGCTCGGAGGAGCTTGGCCGAAGGGATGGGTGCTCACTTTCATGCCTCTTTCTTCCTGCTTTTGCCCACAGGCCACAGAGGAGCGCTTGAAGAAGGAATCCAGCCACAGCCTCCAGATCCAACACCAGGCGCACCGGCTGGAGCTCCAGGCCTTGGAGGAAAGGGCCAGGCAAGAGCTGCAGGAGGAGCGTGAGAGGATGCAGGCTCAGCAGACCCTGCTGCTAGGTATCCACCCAGTGTACACCTGGGAGGGCCTGGCCACTCGCAAGGTCTGCACGTAGAAACCAGTGGCAAGCTGAGGGCCAGGGTGAGCTCCAGGAGTCTGGAGGCACACAGGCCAGGTGACAGTCCTGGCTCTGCCACCAACTAGCTGTTAGGGTACATCACTCTGAGCCTCATTTTCCTTTTCTATAAAATGGAGTCACAATCGTCCCTACCTCGTAGGGTCATTGTGTGGATTAAATGAGATATGAAATATAAAGTGCCTAGCATATCACATGAACCCAGTGAATGTAGATACTATCATTCTCATCATTATTAGTATCAAACATGATGCAGATCTCTGAGCCTTCATAAGAGTTTTGCGGGATTGCCTCAACCTCTCATTTCTGTTCTGAAGATTTCCGCAAATCGGGGGAACTTAGGCCTCCAGACTCCTGGATGTTGCTCTGCTTCCTCTGCCTGCCCACACATTCTCCCCAGCACAAAATGTAGCTCCTCTTCAGTTTCCACATGAAAAACCACTCACACACAGCATTCTGGAAGTTCACAGAGGCAGTGAGATTTCTAGAGCCAAACTGCCTGGATTCGAATCCTGGCTCCAACACTTACTAGCTGTGTGACCTTGGGCAAGTTGGTTAACTGCTCTGTGCCTCATTTTCCCATCTGTAAAATGAGGATCATAATAGCATTCACCTCCACAGAGCTGGAATGAAGATTACATGAGTAAATACCAGCGAAGTGCTTAGAACAGCCTGGTATGTAGCAAGTGCTATGTAAGTGTCCACTGTTGTTACTAAATACTCCAGCATTGCATGGCTGACTCTGGAGACCTCATTCCAATTTTATAGATCATCTCTCTCACTCACTTTCTACTTTCCTCTCATCTGTCTTCCCACTCTTAAGAACAAAACAAATACCTCTTTTTATTTCACGCTTAGCATCAGAGACCATATTGGCTTTATTAAATACTTCTTCCCAACCCAGACAGGGCTCTCCTTAAGAGAATTCTGGGAAGAGCGTTTTCTTTACCTCTGTAAGTGAGTAAGCTCTACTTTGCGGCTTGGTTGAGTTTCACTGGACAGTGTGTCCACTGACTGCATTTTTCTGGAGGAAGTGATGGGAGGAGCAGGAAGGAGAGAGAGTTCCACAGACTCCCCAGGTGGCAGCTACCCTGGAATGGAGGTGTCCCGTGTGGGAAATGCTGGCGTTGGCAGCATCTAAAGAAGACACACCATACGAGCTAGAACCCAGGCCGTGCCACGTGGCTCAGGTCCAGGGCTCCCAGGTCCAGGTCAGGCTGGACCCCTGGCGATGCTGACACCCAGCAGCAGCTGTCGTCACAGATGTCCCCACCACCCCTTCCCTGTGATTTCACAGCAGCCCAGTCTGTCCTGGAGAAAAGAATCCGGAGAGACCCACAGAAAGCTCCTGGGGACAGACTGGGATTTTCAGCGCCAGTCCCAGAAGAAGGAGCTTTTAGGACTCTGTGATGATGATAATAAATCGCAAGCTTTGTGGGTGGTATTGGGTGGGTGGCATCACAAGGGCAGGGTGCTATTTGATGTTCCTGGTCCCAGTCACTTCTCCTCTGATACCTGTGTGAGACACAGCTGACCGGCAGATAGGTCACTGTGTGAAGGGCAGGGAGGGTTGGTGTCCACCAGAAGACTGGTGTGCTGGGTTGGGACCCCGACATGCTGGCTGGCTGGATGGACGGATAGATAGATGGATGGGTGGGTGGATGGATGGATGGATGGATGGACGGACAGACGGACGGATGGATGGATGGACCAATGGACGGATGGATGGACAAACGGACAGATGGACAGATGGATTAAGTGGACAGATGAACGGATGGGTGGATGGATGGATGTATGGTCAGATGGATGGAGGGACAGATGGACGGATGGATGGATGGACAGATGGAAGGGTGGATGGTGGGAAGGTATGAGAAGGGGTGAAGGGTAAAGAATGAATACCCTGTAGTTTGTGCTTTGTTAAAGGATTTTATTGAATTTTTTTGATAATTATTTTCAAAAATTTGGGTTGTGTTTAGATTTTTTTAAGAAAAGAAAATAATCTATAGAAATTACTTTATTAAAATTCTGTTGGGTAAGAAAGACAACTACGTAAATTTTTCCTGTTAACATCATCAGAATATATTAAGCTTTTATATGTGTTTAATATACTGTACCTTTGACCTTTGAGAGAAGCTTAGTAAACTTATGAGGAATCTTTTACAACTGATATGCTTTTACAATATCATTCATTTTCACTCCACATATCATTTGTTTATTTTACAAATACACATTGAGCATTTGCTCTGTACGGAAGCCTGTACTAGGTGCATATCTCATGGCTTATAAATTATCTGAACAATGTTTCAAAGATTATTTGCAATAGCTAAAAGAGTCTCAAAAATCCATAACAGAAAAGTGAAGTATGAAATTTACTAGCACTGGAAAATTATCTTCTTTTTAAAAAGTAATGGCTCACTGAATAACATCTACTCTATTTGAAAATATCCATTTTGAAATAATTGTTTTCTTTGCCTTTTGATTGTGCTGGGCAGTATCTAGTGATCTAGTGTACTGCTAGAAATCAGTTAGCATCCTCAGAGGAGAAACTTCAGTTTCTGGCCTTACTCCCCCCTGAGTTTAACAGAGCTGTACATTTCTCCTGGTCTGGTTTTAGTCCCCATCCTGTCAGGATGACATGCCATCTCCTGCCTCCATGATCCACCCAAGAACCCAAGAACCTGTGAATGTTTTATCTCCTTAGGAGATGACATAAACTTCAAAATTTCCGACTTGAGACCCTCACACCCAGGAGAGGCCCCTGGGTCGTTTGACAATTCCTTGTTCTTCACCTGGTTTCCAACTTGATGCTGAGGTCAAGTGTTGCCTCAGGACTCAGCCCTGGGCTCAGGCTGCCCCACCCTCACCTACCACCCGTCCTAACCAACCAACAGTGGCCACGTAGGTGGTTCAGAGCAAAGAACCACTTGAAGTTTTGAAATCTCCGCTCCACCATTTAATAGCTGTGTGGCTTTGCGTAATTTACTCACCCTCTCTAATGCGCAGTTCTCCCAGCCTAAAATGGAGCAGGGGTGGGCAGGGGTATGATAATTCATACCAGATGGGATGGTTGTGGGGCTTGAATGGCAACAGTTTCCAAAGAGTTTAGCACATTAGCGCTCAGTACATGTTGTTACTGTTATCTTGGAATGAGTTTGGGGAACTCAAAGCAAAGCCTTCAGCAGCCACCTACTCCAGCCCACCCCAGAGACTGCTGTCCTCTCAGGACAGACTCCAGCCTTCACCCCTGCACCTGACCCTCCGCTGCTCTCTCTTCTCCAGAGTCCCTCAGGAAGGAACTGTCGGAGCAGCAAGCCACCTGCTCCGAGCACCAGAAGGACTTGGAGGCGCTGCAGGCTGAGCTGAGGGCCCTCGGCAGCTTGAGCAGACGGCAGGCCACTGGCCAGTGTCCAGGGGACAACGAGGACCATGCCATTGCCACAGAGGTCAGTGCCCTTGCCCCTGCCCAGGCCATACCCCTGCTGGAGCAGCTTCAGGGCTGCAGTGACAAGCCCAGTAAAAGATGGGCTCTGGGTACTCGATCGTTCCCGTCTGACATGGGGAAGACCTTTCTTCTCCACAGACCTGGGGATACTCGGTGGGCCTGTAGCCTCTTCTCTTTGAAAAGCGAAAAAAAAAAAAAAAAGCAGGTTTTAAGTACTGCATGTTATTTATAATTCAGACACCCTGGCATCACCGGGCGTCAGTGCCAGACAGGCCCACAACGCAGCTGGTCTGGGTGAACCCTTGGGATCTGCAGGGGAATGTCTCAGAACCCCCTGGGATCTGCAGGGGAATGTCTCAGAACACCTTCCCAGACAGGCTCGCCGTCTAGAGCTCACTGTTCCCTAAGTGGAGCAGCATGTGGTCACGCAGGCTCAGTCCTGGCTGTGCTTGAATCTCCTTCCCCGTGTCCAGCGTTCCTGGTCTAGCTGGGCAGCACAGTATCCGCCTAACAACCTGTATCCCTCCAGCCCATCGCACACGGCTTCAGGTATTCGCCTAAAGCCCAGCACCACTTCACATAAAGCCTTCGGCTCCCACTGGAATAAGCTCTAGCTGCCTCACCCTGGCAATGAACAGCCTGCGCCACCGGCTGCAACCTGTATCTGCAGCCATGTTCCCCCTCAGCTCATACACCTGGCATCTGCACCCGCCTCTGTCCTTCGCGTGCGCCACTCCTCCTGCCCGAACACCCAGTGTACCCCTCCAAGCTGGGGGCCTCCCCCGCACATCGCAACCCCTCCCCCCTGAGCTCCTGGAGCACTGCCAGGTGGGACGGCTCAGCTGCTGCTGGGACCTACCACGTGGTCCTGTTAGGGACCCAACATTTCAGGGCTGTTCTTATTGCCTGGATCAGGAGTCTGCTGAGAACAAGCTGCATCTGTTCAGCTTCATCTCATCCCCACCCCACTCCCAGCGCTCGGCAGGGTTTCTGCCCATGGCTGTGATGGCGATGATAAGTTGGAGTCCCAGCCCTGCTGAAGGTCCAGGGGACCCTGGGATCATTTATGCCAGATTGTGCTGGTGCTGAACATAGGAAGACGATTTCTGTGTTGACATGAGAAATATTAACAAATGGTGAATCACAGGGAGTTCAACCGGCAGTTGAGTCTAGCAGAGGGAAGACAGACTGTGTTCCATTAAGGGTTCTAGATCACTGGGAGTCACCAGTACCTACGAAAGGGGACAGGGGAAGCTGAGGATGGTGACAGCCTGCGACCGGGCCATGACAGGAGTCAGTGTTCACCCAAGGGCTCTGGATAGAAACCAGGAAGCCCCGAGTGAATGAGATGATACTTGGCCAGCCATGCACCAGCCCTCGCCTTCACCTGGAATAGCGTGGCCTCAGGGGCCACCCGCACAGAGAGCAGATGTAGGGGTATCCACAAAGAGGAAAACCTTGGGCAGCAGGAGTCAAAAGGGGACACAATACAAGGATGCAGTCCCAAGCTGGCTGCCACAGAGGTAAGTGGTGTTCCATCCTGCTGGGATCTTCTGAGTAGCCCTATGAAATAATTCTCATATTGGTCCCACCGGAGACAAGAGGGGAACGCATTTTTCCATCTGCTTCTGTGTCCCGTGGGTCAGAAGTGGTCCCCACAGGGAAGCAGCCTCCCAGTTCTTGCTCTTCCGGGTTATGCATGTGGGAATGCCACCAGGGGCGTCCCACACCATGCAGACCCCAGGACAGGAAGCAAGAGATGTGGGGATGGGCTGCAGATTCGCCCTGTGCAAATCTCTTCAGTGTTTGTGTGCTTTAAACACATAAATGCACAAGCCTTCAGACATGTTGGAGTGAATTTGAAAACCGTAACATTTATTCACTAATCATGGATTAAATATGACCCCATTTAGTGGTGGACACCAATCTGTGTTTCTAGCTGAACCACTGACATTCCAGCAGTTTCATTTAGTAAGCATTCATACGGCACCTACTGAATACCACGTGCTGTAGAACTGGAAAGATGAGACGAACAGCTCCCAGTCTAGTGGAGGAAACCAGCGTGTAGACAGAGGAGTCACTTTGGCCTTACTCTTACAGAGAGGAGGAACGTATCAGTGCTCCCCTGGGGGGTCGGACGACCACACTGAGGCCGTGAGTTTAGGCAGGGAGGGCAAAGGCATGGAGCATGGAACAGGTGGGCTGGGTTGCTCGTTTGGATGTAAGCCACGTTCTTGGCCCACCAGCTTTATTAAAGTCCTTGCGGGCCAGATTTGGTCAACTCGCAATGCAGGGCAACTCGAAGAGACTGGGCGGGAGCCCCAACGTAAGGCTGACTTGGGCTCCAGAAGGGGCGCAGAGCCCAGGGGTCTGCATCTCGCGGCAGCGCCTCGCCGGCCCTTTGTCCCTTGTCCGCCTTTTGCGCCTCCTGAGAACGTCTCACCTGGCTGCCTTCTCCGCAGGTGCGGGGCGGCCCGGGCCAGGCCGGCTCCCCGGCGGGCGGCGCGGCCGAGGAGGGGCCCAGCGAGGCGGGCGGGCTGCGGGAGGAGAACGCGCAGCTCAAGGACGCGGTGCGGCGGCTGCGCGCCGAGGCGGAACAGCACCAGCAGGAGGCGCTGCAGCTCCGCGACCAGCGCAGGTGCGTCTGCCCGACACCGCCACCACCCGCAGCTGCCTTCCTTCCTTGCACCTGAAATGGGGTCACCCCCTTGGCATCCTCCCCTCGTAAAGACACTAGACACTTAAGACGCCAGCAGTCCACTGATGTCACTCCAGTGCTCTAGAAATTTGAGATTTCACAACCGCACAGGGTCTGCCCCCAAATAAAAGAGGGGGTCCTGTTTCCCTGCAAATCAGGAAATCTGTTAGACCTAGAATCAGGCCCAGAAGATACCAGAAGTGTCCTCATATCCATCCGTAGGGCGACAGTGTAGTAGCATAGTCCGGACAGTGGGGTGTGCTCTCCACCAGCTGTGTGACGCTGGGTGAGTCCGCTGACCTCTCCCAGCCTGAGTCCTCGTCTGTAAGATGGGGACAAGACCACCGCCCGTCAGGGCTGTCGTAGAATGCACTGAACGGTACATGAGGGGCTTGGCCACCCCATCCCCCCGCCCCACATGGAGGAAGCACTCGGTTAATTGTGCATGTTATAATAATAACTTATCAATCCTGAGTTCACAGTTGTTTTTCCCCCCCGTTGGAAAGTTTTTAATACAAATTCAATTTCTTTAATAGATACAGGACTTTTCAGGTTATCTAGTTCTTCTTGAGAGGACTTTAGCTGTTTGTATCTTTCAAGCAATTTGTCTACTTCATCTAAATTTGTGAAGGTCCCAGTCCCGGCATAAAGTTGTTCATAATTTCCTCTTTTTGTCATTTTAATGTCTGGTGGTTTCATTTTTTCCTAATATTTGTCAACTATGTATGTTGAACCTTGCTGGGTCAGCCCCAAACTGCTTTGAGCCTTGGCTGTACTTTTCCATTTAATTTTCACAACTACTTCTTTATAAAGGTGAGAAAAAAGGGATCAGGGAGGTTATAAAACCTGCTTCACATCGCTTTGCACCTTGGCCAATATCATAACTCTGCATCTTATGCATATCCTCGGGCAAATTTCTTAACCTCTCCTTGCCTCAGTTGCCCAGAGCGTAGGAGGACAACAGAGCCTAGCACACACGCTGCTGGGAGAGTTCGAAGGCATAACATGTAAAATGTTTGGAACAATGCTTGGCACATAGCTGTTGCAATTCTCAAACTTTACCTTGCATTAGAATCACCTGGAAGGCTTGTTGACCTCACATTACGGGGCTCTACCCCCAGCACTTCTGATTCGGTAGGACTGGGGTTGAGCCTGGGACCAGCATGACTTAGAATTAGTTAGGATTGGCATCTCTGGCAAAGTCCCAGGAGATACTGATGTTGAGTCACCAGGATGACGCTGTGAGTACCACCACCCTTCCTATCTGTCAGTCCTTTACTTCACTCTTGCTGAAGTCAATCTCCAGGGTGAGGGAACTTTCCAGAGGCCCTGGAATTCTTCATGGCAGGGGATGAATCCTTTTTCAGACAGAAGCTCTTGGCTAAGATTAACCAGGGTGTCCTGGAGACCTGAGGTGGCTCTGGGACATGGATTCCCAGCCAGAGAGGCCCCCATGGGAGCTTTGTTAAAAATACACACTCTGGGCCCTGCCCCCGTTGCGGTGGGTGTGAGGAGGGGCCCAGGGGTCCAGACGTGGAAAGAGGCCCCAGGTGACGTAATCACCAGTGGAGATGGAGAGGAGGGCTCCCGCTAGGAGAAAGGGGCCTTTCTGAGTCCTTTGGTCAGGGCTGGGGCAGCAGCTCCCCTGCTAGGCTCACGTGGCTGTGAAGGCACCGACAGGCCCCAGCTGGGCTGAGGTCCTGGGGCCTCCCGCCCCAAGAGAGCAGAAGTGAGGCTATCTGACAGGCAGCCATGAGCCCACCTGGCTAAAGCGGACACCTTAGATTCCGTTAGTGACTCACCGTGTGACACAGGCAAGTCCTTAGAATAAGGAGGTTGGATTAGAGTGGGGACTCCTAACCATTTTGGGTTACAGCTCCCTCCAAATGAGGAAAGCAATGGTCCGTCTTCTGGAAGAAATTTGCTTGTACTTTCTGAGGGTGACAAACCCTTGAGGCCTGTCTGTGGACCCCTCAGTGCCCCGTCTGCAAGGAAGGAAAAATGATAGCTAATGGTCGAACGTGTACTTTATGCCACAAACTGTTCTGGGTGTGTATTAACACGATTCCTCCTTGCAATAACCCCACAAGGTAGGTGCGACTGTCACCTCCTTTTAACAGATGAGAACACAGCAGCGAGCAGCTCGCGCGAGGCTGCACAGCTAGGAAGTGATGGAGGCTACCCCTCTCCCCCTGCCTTTCCGCCCTGGCCCCTGATCTCCAAGGCGAAAGCCCCAGCGTTAGGATCCCAGCCTCCGGGGCTCCCCCGTGGGAAGTCTGTCCTCATGCTCGGCTTTCTCCTTCATGGAATGCTGGGGTGGGAGGGTGCTGAACAGGGGTTGCACAGTGGGGTTGATCCTGAACCCCACAACTTGGAGACCCCAGCTCCTTCCCACCTGTGTCCTGACCTCAGACTCATAACCTCCCCCGACCCCAGGTGTCTCAAACCAGCCTCTAGCAACAAGGAAGCCCAGAGCCCACGGGGCTTGGTCCCCAGGGCCTGAGCAAGCCTGGCTATGCTTCCATCCACTGCAGGTTGCTGGAGGAGAGTCAGCAAGCCCAGCGGGCCAGGGAAGTGGAGGCGCTGCGCCAGGAACATCGGAAGGAGATGCAGGCCATGGTGGCAGATTTCAGCAGTGCCCAGACCCAGCTCCAGACCCGGCTGGCTGCCCTGGAAGCCGAGTGAGTGAGGCCCTGGGCCCCAGGATGGGAGGGATCAGCAGATAATCAGGGTGACCAACTCATCTCCGTGTCCCTGGGCTATCCCAGTTTTAAAACTGGAAGTCCTGAGTCCCAGGAAGCCCTTCAGTCCCAGGCAAACTAGAATGGTTGGTGGCCTTTCGTTTATTAGCTGTGTTTCCCCTTCATGCAGGGAACTGGGAGTCTGTGAGAATGAGCACAGTCTTAGTGGGCATGGTTTAGCCCTCATACTTGGAAGAAATCAGAAGAATCAGGGCTACTTTTTTAATGAGCATTTGCCCTGTTCTAACATGCATCATCTCATTTAGTCTTCACAGCAGTGCATTAAGATGGAAACTGCTATTCCCACTGACAGATAAAGCTAGGGTCCCTCGTGCACGCATGCATGCAATCATTCATTCAACAAATATGTGTTAAGGGCTGACTGTGTGCCCAGCACTGTTAGGCTCTAAAGTTATAGCAGGAACAAAACAAAGACCATGCTCTCATAGCGCTCACAAATTATGAACGGGGGAACTGACAGATGGAACAGCAAGTGCAAAGGCCCTGGGACCTGCTTTATGTGACTGGAAATAGCTAGAAGGCTCTCATGTGGCTGAATGGAGTGAGTGGAGGGTAAGTGGCAGGAAATGAGGTGGGTTGGGGAGATCCTGCCCTGCTGGGAAGGAGTTTGGATGTGTTGAGCATGCCCTGGGAAGCCATTCAAGGCTTTGAGTGAGGGCAGGAGTGACATGCCTGATTTGCCTTTTCATAGGGTCACTTCTGGCTGCTGAGAGAAGAGCCTGGGGGAGGAGGGGATTGGCAGGAATACCATTTAAGAGGTGATTGCAGTAATCCAGGTTCAGACAGGTGAAGCCACTTGCCCAGGGTCAGGCAGCAGTGAGTTTAAATATCACCTGACTCTTAACCTGCATTCTTAAAAACTATTCTCCACTGTCCCCAGTACAAAACAAATCATCCAAATGCTTCAGGAAAGGTTTTGCCAGCTACCATTTAACGGGCACTTACTATATACCAGGTGCCCATTATCTCATCGAATCTTCACAATCACCCAGCTTCATGCCCATTTTAAAGAGAAGGGAACTGGGGCTCACAGGTGAAAAGCTATGCCCAAGGCAACATAGCTACAAAGAAAAAACAAAAGCAGAGCCAGGATTAGAGTCCAGGTCATCTCACCCCAAAGCCTTGGCCTCTCATCAGCTACAGTCAGTGGGTCGTCTGCAGCCCTAACCCTCCGTCTCCCCCACCACCCATAGTTACCCATCTCTGGCTTCACGCTCGAAGGGCCGTGCTGCTCTGCCGTGCTCCCTGGCCGCCAGCAGGTAGCGCCAGAGCCACGTCGGCTTGAGCGGAACCCGCCGGCCTCTGGCAGGCCAGGGGACATTGTCATGCCCAGGGCTCTTCTCCTGGGAGCATCCCTGGCTCCTGTAGCCCGCTCCGTGAGCATCTGTGTGCACTCACGGGCCTTCGGTTCCTTGGCCCTGTAGGCGCGGGGGAACTGACAGAGGTCAGATTGAGTTGGGGTCCTCGGTTCTGCAGCCAATCACCGGGTGGCCCTGGCCAAGCCTCTGCTGCTGTCTGCGCCTCCGCTGGCCAGGCTAAGCACACGACAGCCCGTTGTGTCCACTTGCTCTCCCTCCTTGTGGAGTAATTGCTGTAAGGGGGACTAACTGCATGCCTGCTTGGAACAGACTGAAAGATTCCGGAGAGAAGCCAGGGAAGGGAGCGTCCCGGCCCGAGGACCTTCAGCTCATAGGCCGTCTGCAGACCCTCTTGAAGGAGAGAGAGGAGATCATCAAGCAGCTCACGGTGAGGCTGTCAGTCGCACCCACACACCTGGCGGGCTGGAGTTCCTCCGGGAGGGGCATTCACTTTGCACCTGGCGTTTCTCTAGGTGCCTACAATTTTGCCTTATGAAGAATCCTTTATTTTCTCCTATTATTAAAAAATAAAACCTCATACTCACTAAAAAAGTGAATACAGGAAAATAGAAGAAAAACCCCATTCTAATCCCAAGTCCAACAGCATTTGCCTGATGTCGATGTTGGCTCAGATCAGTTTTCTTTTAACTTACAGAATTTGAGAAAAACTATTGTAGAATGGCTTGCTTATGTTTGAATATTAGTAGAATCAATCAAATTTATTATTGATCTTTCTTTTGTAAAAATGACTATTTTTTTAACCTCAATGACTATTTCCCTTGAAGAGAAAATGATCTCCAGCTCCCTCTGATTCTGTATCCAACAGCCACCAAATATGAGGGTCACTTCTTTGGAGTGTCCCTCTCCCATCTGCTCCCACCCACCCACTTCACTTCCTGTCTCCTCATGCTTTGACCACTGCCTGAAAATTAGATGTTAATAAGGAATCGTTGCTTGTTTGCTAAATATAACAGAGGTGTTATGGTTATGTTTTCTTTTTTTAAAAAGGAATCTTTATCTCTTAGAAATACATATTGATGTTTTTACAGACAAAATTATGTGAGGACTGGAATTTACTTTAAAAATAACACAGCAGAAGAGGAAAAGGTAGAAGAAATGACACAAACAAGATTGGCCATGTAGTTATAATTGCTAAAGTGGGAGATGGATTTTATTACCCTCTCTTCCTTTTGTATGTTAGAAAATGCCTATGATCAATTTTAAAACAAAAGAAAGGTAGGGAGGAAAGTGAAATCCTTTGAGCACCTGGGAGCTTTCTTTGCCTGAATTATTTTCTGCAGTAGATTATCTTCAGGTGCTAAGAATCTTTGGGATTTCTAACTTCCTAAGGCGTAGGCTTGCCCTTTCCTTGACAAGAGGGGCTGGGGACATAAAAGCCCCAGGAGTATAAAGGTGCTTCCTCAAAGCTTCGGTGGCTAGCAGTTCCTTCCCTCGCCCCCTGGACTTTTCTTCTCTCTGTGTTCCGCCCTCACAGCCACCTTCCTTCAAGTCAAACCCAGCGCCGTGTGGTTAGGCTCATTTGTAGTTGGTTGTATTGGTTTTCCAGGAAGAGAGAAGATTCCACTACGCAGCGTTCCCCAGCGCAGTGTCCCATCGGAATCGGTCTTTTTCATTCCATCCTCACCCAGGGTATTTGACCCCTTCCATGAAGGTAAATTGAGTCTACTGGCTTTAATGAATTACGCGATTCTGCTGGTTTCATTTTTCCTAAAGGTAACTGCAGCTGGCATACAGTCAGAAGAATATTCATTGAAAAAAATGATCCATAGTAAATAGTCCAAAGTATTAACAGTGTTTATATCTGGTTGGGCAGATTATGTGTGGTTTTTATTTTTTATGGGCTTTTGTATTTTCCAAATTTTCTACAATAAATATGTATCATTAATAATAGCTCTATCTCGGTGATGGGAAGGAGAGGGGAGAAAATAGGAATCTTCTACTTTATTTCTGTACATATTTTTGGAATTTGTCACAAGGCACATGTTCATGTCCAAGTCTCTTCTCTGTTATCATAAAATCATGAAAACTCTAAAAAAATGGTATTTTTTAAAAGCTCATAGGACAATAAACCTAACTTCACCTGAACTGATGTGATCTCATTTTTAGTTTTTATGTATCCCTCTTATTGTAACAAAATGTTAAGTTTCACTCCAGAAGTATTAATGCATCTGAGGATAGGGTGATAGGGTGGGCCCAGACCCTGCTGGGGGTGTTATGTGGTCTTCTGAGATCTAAAAAAAAAAAAAAAATTTTTGAATCACAAACATGTCTGTCTCCAGAAGTTTTAGATACGAGATTGTGGACCTATGTGTTTTTTAAAATACAAAATGAAGATTAGAAGGAAAAATGCTTTTAAAAATACCATGTAAGTCTATATCCTGTCCTATATAATTTTCATTGGGTGAGCCTTATTTACTTTGACAATAATGCCTTTTTGCTTTTTTTTGCATAGCACTAACAGACCTTTCCTTTAATACAAACAGAAAAAGAAGATGGAGGAAGTGCCCAGCAGAGTGGTCAGTGTGCCAAACCTCGCCTCCTACGCAAAGAACTTTCTGAGTGGCGATCTGAGCTCCAGGATCAACGCTCCTCCAATCACCAAGTCACCCAGCTTGGACCCAAGCCCCAGCTGCGGCCGGCCTTACAAACCCACACAGTCTGTAGATGCAAAAACTGCCACAAGGTGGGGAGACAGATGCTGTTATTCCATTTCCCTATAGATAAGAAGGAAATTAAGATCCTTTCTGGAACCACCTAAATACCCAGCATTTGGGCAGATATAAAAAGTGGCAAAACAAGCCCTGCCTTGGAGAAATGACAATCCAGCCAAAACGGAGGAAGATTGTGTAAGAGAAGGGAATTGTCATTCTTTGGAAGAAGTACTATTCCTGGTACCAAATTCTTTTTCCTGGATGATCAGACAAGGGACATTGAATCACCTAGCTGAAAACTTCCGTGTGGGCTACACGGAAGGTAGACTCTTCATCTGGCCTTGAGGTCTGAATTCAAATCCCAATCCTCCTTGTTCTTAGCTGTGTGGCCTTGGGTGTGTCACTTGATCTCTCTGAGTCTCGTATCCCTACCTCTAAAATGAAGATAATATAGCACCTACCTCATCAGGCTGATGTGACACTAAAGGAATTAATATCCATAGGATGTGCTTAGCACAGGACTTGGCACAGAAGAGTTTGATATATTTTCACTATTATTACTAAGGTTATTTCTGAAGATTTATTGTATAATATCATCTTAGAATTCTACAGACTTCATCTGTAGGTTTGGTTGATCATGCATAATTATCTCAGATACAACCACTAAATCTTTTTTTCTTCCTTTTTTTTTTTTTATTGAGACAGGGTCTCACTCTGTCGACCCAGCTATAGTATAGTAGTGTCATCATAGCTCACAGCAACCTCAAACTCCTGGGCTCAAGTAATCCTCTTACCTCAGCCTCCAAAGTAGCTGGGACTATAAGCCCGTGCCACTGTGCCCAGCTAATTTTTTCTATTTTTAGTAGAGATGGGGTCTTGCTCTTGCTCAGGCTGGTCTCAAACTCCTGACCTCAAGCAATTCTCCTGCCTAGGCCTCCCAGAGTGCTAGGATTACAGGTGTGAGCCACCATACTGACCTAACTACTAAGTCTTAAGTGAAACACTGGAGTACCAAACAATGGTGAACTTGGTTTTCAAAATAGAAGTTAGATACTCCCTCCTGAGCCCCATTCTTAACAATTTGTTTCCTGCTAATAATGTTGGCTGGTCACATTCTAATATCTTTTGAAGAGTAAAGAAGCAGTTGTCTTTCCCCAAAAAGATGGTGTGGTATTAAGTTGTTTATTGAATAATTTTCAAAACCATATAAGAAACCTTTGTTGTTTGTTTGCTTTTAGGACACCAGAAGGTGAAACTGCCCAACCCAAAGAAGCCCAGCAGAAACAGGGCTCTCCACACCAGGAATGGTTTACGAAGTACTTTTCTTTCTGAGCTGATGTTTCAGATACTTCACGAAGAGGATACTTGAAAAACATTTCTTTTAAGTCATCTGATTGAAGTAATGAACTAAAGCCAACCAACCAAATAACTTGCTTGTAACATGATTTATATATGATAGCTAGAACAGATTTTGGCATTAACATTTCATACTGTTTGTGACAGCAGTTCATTGAAAAAAAACTTGACATTGAAAAAACCAGTGTTATAAAAGCACCCACAGGAAAATGTTATTAATGTTATTAATGACCTACATATTGTGTTTCTAGCGTCCACATCATCATACTTCACTTTGTGGAATATCAGACTTTGTGATTCCCATGGTCTGCTTTGAAGCTGGTTTTATTTGTCCTTAGGATGCTGGTTACCTCCACTTGAAGAGCTGTTTCTATGTAAAATGATATAATTCCAAACACACATCTAACCTCAGCAGGTAGAGGAATAAAACAAAGTTCAAAATAAACAGGAAAGCCAATTAAAAAGCAAACAAACCAAACCTACTAGGCATGGATGGTAGCATGCTTGGATTGAATATTCTGACTTCCTTGGTCTAGGACAAACAGCAGGTTGTAGAGAGGATAACGCCTACCTCTAAAGGGTCTTTGCAAGGATAAAGCAAGATAAATTGGGTAAAGACACCACTCGTGAATCGGAATTAAGCACAAGGTTTTTCTGTGAATAGCCAATCCTTGCCATACATCTGTTTCAATGATTGTAGTGTTAGCCTGGTCATTTGTGAAGGTTTCTAGACCGTTCTGTTCTCTGAAGTCAAAGATCTGAACCTCTCTGGTCTTTGGGTTTGGCCATTTAACTCATGGTGTGTTGCTTCCTCATTGCATGGACTCCCCATGGATTAAAGGAACTGGAATGGCCGCTCATGGTGCTGACCTAGTTCTCAGTCCACACTGAACTGTCTTACCCTCTGCCAGAGCAATGCGATTTGACAAGACTCAATCCAACTTTTAGGGCCAATACATTTTCTCAATCCTTTGGTGCTGGCCCAACTGGTGGCCCACAAACAGAGGTTAATTCTATGCACTGTCAAATCTCTGCTCCTTGAATAAAACTTTAAACAACTGGGCAATAAAAATGGTTGTGACTTGTATTGCTTTTCCATAGAAAGGTAAATTAGATGAAGACAGAGCTTGGAAATAGGAAGTTCACACTAACCTCAAACAGTTCATCTTTGAATAAAAAGTAGCTGATTACATACTCTTAACTATCATTTTGATAGAAATGCAATTAAAATTCAAATTAAAGGTAAATTTACTATCTAATCAAAACAAGACCTCAATAAGATAATTTTTAAATGCAAATCCTTGTCACCATGCATGTAACATGCCATATTATTTTTCAGTACCAAATTTTTTTGTCTTTCCTGCTTAGGTTGGGTGTCTTAGTCATTCGGGCTGCTATAACAAAATATCATACTTATACTGGGTAATTTATAAACAACAGAAATGTATTGCTTACAGTTCTGGAGGCTGAGAAGTCCAAGATCAAGTCGCCAGCAGATTCAGTATCTGGTGAGGGCCGCTTCCTCACAGATGGGCACCTGCTACATGTCCTCACACAGTAGAAGGGTAAGGGAGCTTGTCTGAGCCTCTTTTGTAAAGGCCCTAATCCCATCCATGAGGGTGGAGCCCCCATGACTTAATCACCTCCCGTCAGCCCCACCTCTTAACACTAACACACTGGAGATTAGGTTCCAACATGTGAATTGGAGGGGAGGGGGTACCAACATTCAGACCACAGCAGTGAACATTGTAAGATTATTTTTTATTTTGTGCTTTTAAAAAAGACTACATACAGGCCGGGCGCGGTGGCTCACACCTGTAATCCTAGCTCTCTGGGAGGCCGAGGCGGGCGGATTGTTTGAGCTCAGGAGTTCGAAACCAGCCTGAGCAAGAGCGAGACCCCGTCTCTACTAAAAATAGAAAGAAATTAATTGGACAACTAAAAATATATAGAAAAAACTAGCCGGGCATGGTGGCGCATGCCTGTAGTCCCAGCTACTCGGGAGGCTGAGGCAGGAGGATCGCTTGAGCCCAGGAGTTTGAGGTTGCTGTGAGCTAGGCTGACGCCACGCACTCTAGCCCGGGCAACACAGTGAGACTCTGTCTCAAAAAAAAAAAAAAAACTACATACAGGTAGTTCTACTTCTGTGTGTTGGAACATTTTCCCAGCACTGTGCAACTGCTGATGACTGGCAAAGCAAGCTGCACTTTACACTACTGTCCTTTGAACTGTGCAGGAAGAGAATTTTATTAATCGAGACCCTCCATCTGTTTCAACTTCTTTCTTGTCGCAGGTGAGTGAAAGATGTTGTTAAATTCCTAGATTCTACCCTGCAATAATCACATATTTGTTAACTAAATCTTTGCATGCTTCTATAATTTTTTCTTTAGGCCTGCGGTCCCCACCCGCTGGCCGCAGACTGGTGCTGGTCCGGCCTGTTGGGAGCTGGGCTGCATGCTGGGAGGTCAGGGGCAGGCGAGTGAGGCTTCGTCTGTATTTGCAGCTGCTCCCCATCACTCACATCACCACGTGGGCTCCACCTCCTGTCAGATCAGCAGCAGCTGCACACCTTCTCCCCACCCCTACCCCAGGTCTGTGGAAGGACTATCTTCCATGAAGCCCGTCCTGGTGTCAGAAAGGTTGGGACCACTGCATTAGGCCATATTCCTTGAGTATTGAAGGCATCTAAAGATACACACTTAAGCTTTTTGTTTGGTATTATCAAATTACCATCCAGCACGTTTCTAGCAATTAATTCCCTTACAAACAGTAAATGAAATTCTCTGTACCCTAGACAATGTCGACAAAGAAACAATTTGATAGATAAAACATTCTTCCTGTTTCAGTTTGTATAATCCGATTCCGTCAATCTCTCAAGAAGAGCAGAGTGTCTAGAGATGGTGGTGGTGGCTTAGAGGTCACAGTGCAGATAAAGAGAAATGATCTGTTTCAGGAGTAACTTAGGTGGGAGAAACAACAGAACATGATGATAAATCTCTTCAGGCTATTTTATGACAGAGGGTATAAGAATTAACATTCCTGGAGCAAAACTGAACAGAAAGAATATCATCTGTTCTACATGAATGCAAACTCTTTCTTAACTGGGGCGGAACGTAACGGATTTACCAAATCAGGGGCTGCATACCATGAACCTGAGCCTTTAACTGCTCTAGCACCGACGCGACATCCAACCCAGCGATTGTGATTGAGGCTACTTTGTTCATAATCATTCTCCAGGATCCATGTGGATTCTGCAAAGGTGAGGCTGGTAAATTAGATGGAGCTGTGATGGGGATGGCCTTCCTGGCATCTTTTAGAGTTCTAAGGGTAGCACCAATTCCCACCGACACCCCCACCCCCACCCCCAGGATGCAATATTGTTTTCTATCTACCATCTCTACCAGCTCCTCAGCTATCTGGTCTCCCCCAGGAGGTAGCCACAGAGGCCCCTGGCACTCACGGTCACCACCTTCAGTTTCTCATCATTGCTCTGCAGGGAGTCCAGACAGTATAGCGAGGACCACTGCTGTCCTCATGTGCGGTACCCCCTTACCTTCCATGGGGAAGTTCTCCCAGGGCACTGCTGGTGAAATCTTCAGCAACCGGGCCACCTCCTTGTGTCAGTGACTGTCCATACCTCACACACCCTTTAGGTTGGGTCCTCCTTGCCAGCTGGGCAGTGAGGGAGCCGGTCCCCAAACCCCATCCTACTGCCTGCTCTCTCGCACCACGTTTACTAACAGCTTTGTCGGGTGGGTCCTCCAGGAGGCATGCCCCAAGACACAACTAGAAGTGCAAGATTCACTGGGGGGTGCCAATGCCTTCAGCCAAGACGACCAGAAACACACTTGTCTTTGAACAAGTTATTACTTACTGCAGTAAGAGAGGACATTCATCGTGGAGAACGGCAGGGCTTCTCAGAGAGCATTACAATGAATCTATTTTAGGATTTTGGCAGCGCCTGGGTGATTTCAAAGTGGGTTTAAGGAAGTAGGGATTCCGTCTAGATTGGATGCTGTCAGAAATGGGGGTGATTCTGTGACTGAGTATCTAGATAAATCTTATCTATAAGGAAGGTGGCCTGGAGTAAGGATGAAGCTGTGATTGGTAAAAAGGCAGCAGTCACTCATTTTCATCAGAAGGATGTTTGTTGTTTTGTGAGTGGCACAGTGACTTTTTTTAACGTACAAAATTATGAAATGGTTTGTTTTGTCTGACTTTATCATGGCCTGAGAGCAGCTTTGTCTGAAGGTGGTGTTCGGAGACTGTTCATGTCCGACAGGAGAATAACATGACCAAGCAGTGGTAGGTCACCTTCTGAATGTCAGGTAGGTTTTTTTCCCCTTCTCAGGGGAAACACCTGCACAAGATAAAGGGAGAGGAAATGGAAGACAGGAAGAGCCTTCAGACTATGAGGCAGGTTTGACACCTGTGAGAGGAGGGCTGAGGAAGATTCTGGCTAAAGAGAGTTGGACGGCAGGACAGCGCCAGAACGTCTTGGCCAGGCTGATGGGAGCTCCAGAGCAGCCTGAGTCCCATGTTGGGCAGAAGTGGCCTGGCTCCAAGACCCCACTGTACCTGGTCACACGCAGGACCAGCACAGCCTGGGCAGGAACGCAGCAGCTGCTCCCCAGCAGCGGGAGCTGTTGTACCTGCAGTCCTTGCAGCGGCTCTCTTGAATGGAGATCTGAGCAGTGCTACTCCACAGCCTGTGGAGGCCCAGGACCAAACACACAGGAATATCAATAGTCAGACAGTGGGTAGAGGAGGAAATAAAAAGAAGGGAGGATGCATTAAAGAGAGTAAGTTGAAGTACAGAAGATGAAAATGGAGAAGTGTCCGTTCCATCTGGCAACAGCCAAGTAGGCAGCAAGGGTCGCAAGCATAGTGGTGGCAGCAGGGGAGGGACAGCCAGCAGCCAGGAGGTGGAAGGAGAATGGAGAAGAGCTGGGGACTGTGGATGGGGACCAGAGATGGGGCGGCAGCTCAAGATCCAGGGGAATGTCTAACATGGGGACCAAGGGTTCTTGTGAGCTGCAGGAAATGAGGAAATGAGCCAGTGGACAAATGATTCAAGGGGGGTGGAAATCACCCAAGGACTTATGCCCTAGAGAAGGCAACTGGCCTGGGACCCAGAACACGTGTGGGGAAAGTGCCCTGAAGATGGGTAGGTTCATGTGAGAATGACAGCCCCGTTCCGCCCAGCTCACAGGCAATCTGCATCTGGGGGCCTGGGAAGCTGAGGGTTCAGAAGGGAAAATGACTGCTGGTACAACTTTCTACCTTTTGAGAGCCACCTTGGCTTCTCAAGAACACCCGGGAGCTATAGGTGGATAGGCTGTTAGTGATTGCCACACTGACCAGGGAAGAGAGGTGTGAGAACACAACCCATTTCAAATCCTGCTTCTGCCAAGGAAGAAGAGGCTACCTCCTCCATAACCCTCCTTCTCCTCTAATCACTAACACCCCAAAGAGCACATACTACATCCTAGCACACCCTTGCTACTTATTTCCCACTCAATATCTCCTTTAATCTGCAAAAATAATCCTAGGAGATAGGTCCTAATCTTACCCCTATTTAACAGATTTATTATCTATCTGTGAAAACAGAACAATAGATTCTCTTACAAAGCTTCTAGAAAATCCAATGAGATCATTTATGGAACGTGTGTAGCACAGATGTTTGAAAGATGGAAACTTGAAGCACAAGGTAGACCAGAGCAGGGTTCTTTCTTAAAGGACACACCCCGGCCAGGTGTCTGGGCCGTGGCTCAGCAAAGGGCATCCCACAGGCGCAGAGGGAAACCCCAGAGGGTGGCTCCTGATTTTCTCCCTGAAGGAGATGGCAGCTTAGAGGGTTTTCTGTGTTCGTCACCCAGCAAGATGTTTACAAACAGATAAGATTGGAAAATTGCTATTTATTTGACAAAAAACTTTTGAATAAAGAAATGGCAATAACTGATAAATACATTAATTCAAGATATTTTCACTAAGCACCAGACAGAATAGTACGCAATCTTTCCACCGAGAACTCCTTTGAAAGATGCCTATAACTCAATCAGTTTATTTAGGTTTTTAATCAAGAAATCTAAAGCAGCCAATGAGAGTTTATAACTACCATGAAGTGACTGGGTAAACAACCTTGAGGTCATATAACGCGAGCTTTTAAAATCTGTTCGGCCGGGCGTGGTGGCAGGCACTTGTAGTCCCAGCTACTTGGGAGGCTGAGGCAGGAAGATCACTTCCGGCCAGCCCAGGAGTTTGAGGCTACAGTGAGCTATGATGCGATGCTACTGCACTCTAGCCAGGAATGGAGTGAGACCTTGTCTCAAAAAAAGAAAAAAAAAAGCTTTAACCTATACCTTCTAATTGAGGAGTTCCCTGGCTGCAGGCTGGTAATCCCAGGTCCATGTGCCAGATCCCACACATACACACACACAAAAATGAGTACTAAGTAGCATGTATAAAAGAGAAATAATATAGGGTCCCTGTGTATTTAAAGGCAATAATGCCTAATTCTCATGGGCATACAATGCAGTGAGGGGCAGAGAGAGATAAAAGTCACTGACCCACAAGGGAGAACCAAGCAAGAGCTTGGTAGAGCGATGAGTCCTATGCCCTGGGGATACAGCAGAAAGGGCACTGGGGGGCATCAGGCACCAGGTGGCATCTAGGCCAGACCAGGAACATGAGTGGATGTCACTGTGTGTGAGCAGGGCCTTCAAGGCTGGAGAAAATAAAAGGACCCAAGACACTGAGCCACTGAAGTGCTCTTCAGAATACAGTGAAGGCTTTGTTTTGGGTAAAGGGATGTAATTTAATAACGGACTGTATAAAATTCAGGAAAACCTCACCCAGTAAGAGCCAGAAACAACACTAGTCTTACATTTGCCAATAGCAATTCAGATAATCTGAGGTGGCCTATGAACTAGCAAGAGAGTAAAATATTTTCCCAAATGTGGAGGCACCACATGCTTTTTGTGGAAGTAGCCAAGCCACCCCGAGACCCCAGTCCCCTGGAATCAAATCCACTAGCAACAATCATCCTTAATGGAAAATATCTCCCCTCCCAAAATGTAAAATAAAGACAACACAAGCAAAAACTCAAAACTAAGAGAAAACCAGAGCAAACTTTAATACCTCATACTTCACCTATGCCCTAACTGTCATGGTACTGAGACACAGTCCGCCCTATTACTTACACTGATTCAGTACCGCAGAACACAACAAAAGTTAGCATATCACTGCTAAATGTATCCCTCCCCATCAAAAAAAGTAAATAAACACTACACAAAATATAAACTTATCCCAAATAAAAGTCAGCATTAGCCTAAGGATTCTACTGCAATATTACTATACTAACCCAGGATATTTTAATCCTCTTCCTACTTATTTACAAAATATCCTCATTCTGAGAGCTCTGGAAGCATTATAAACATTGTTGCATTAGATTCTTCTTCTTGAGGTAGTTCAAAGGTAAAACACAGCACAGCAGGTTTACCTATTTTTCTACACTCTACCATGGTGGGGTAATTATCATAAAAGGCCTACAAGCAAAATCCTCATCCCCCATTCTCAGACTATTATCGTTTTTTCCCTCAGATCAAACTAACCTAACTGGAAACACACATGAGGAGATGAAAAGTCATACAAAAATTTAAAAAGCAAAAAAAATTTTAAAAAGACTCTGTAAGTACCATTACACTATCTAAACTTCACTGAAGAAAAAAAATTTACTTGGTTTACCCAAGCTACAGGCATTTTAGAAAGTATTTAAGACATTAAACACCTTATAAAAATAGTGGAAAAATTTTAGGTGAGAATGAA